GACATGGGCATTGGCTCCTGCTGTGCTCTGGGGGCTGTGCAGGGCCTGGAGCTGGGCACTGGCCATGGCACCTCCCAGCCCTTGAGAGGGTTTGCTGAACCCTGGCCCGCGCTTTCAGTAGTGACACTTCTTTTTCCCCATCTAGTGCACGCACACCTAACTTGTGGCTTTTGAAAGTGTTAGAGAACGGAGGCATGTGGGGAGCAAGTGAGCTCTGCCATAACGAGGGTCTAAACCCATCGCCTTCAGCTGGTACCTCTCTCCCTGTATGGGATGGGGTGTCCCTGGGGGTCACCCCATGCTTCCCACACGCCGCAAAAGCCATCACCTTGTTTACAGTGCCTGAGCTGGCCCCGGCACGCTCCGGCTGCGTCTGCAGGCCGATACTGAATGTCAAATCACATACAAAAACTGTGTAATACTTTTTTTTTTCCCTTTCTCTCCTGGTCCCACTCCCTCTGCATCCTCTGCCCCAGCTCCAGTTCCCTGGTAGGACGCAGCTCTGGAACTTCTTGTGCTCGTGTTGCTTCTTGCATCTTGACTGGTGCATGTCCTGCGGGTATGGTCCCCACTGCTGCTTTCCTTCCTCTCGGTGAGCTCAGCTTCCTCCCGAAAGAGTTTCCTTGTCTTTCTGCAGCATTTCTTTTTTTTTTAAGACGAGAGCAAATGCGTCCTCCATGGGATGTCTTTTCCTAGCAGTGCGAAAAGGTTTGGGCTGAGCCACTCCTCTGCGACCTGGTGTCTGTGCCAAGCCCCTCCCTGCTAACACAGCTGCATTCCCATCTTTGATGGAATGTGATGAAGGCTTGGAGTTATTTTTGGTGTTTGACCTGCTTCTGGGAGGAGAAGGCTGTGCAGAGTGGTGTCCCTCTCGACGTGTTGCGTTTCCACCTCTTGCTCCGCATCCTATTTGGGGGCTCTGCTTTGGATGCCCCATGTCAGTACCCAAGGCCAGGTGTGGGGTAGGTCTGTGCCACGTTGCTGCTCCTTCCCACTCCCTCACCTGCTCTCTGCATCTCTTGATGCTTACCTCGTTTCCTCCAAGTCTGTGCTGGTGAAGGTTTCGGCATGCTCCAGCATCGCTCAGTTGTAAGCAAAGCTTTAAGTCAAATCCTCCTTTCAAGAGGAAATGGACTTGAGTTGCACCAGGGGAGGATTAGATTGGATATTAGGAAAAATTTCTGCTCTGAAAGGATTGTCAGGCATTGAACAGGCTACCCAGGGGAGTGGCGGAGTCACCGTCCCTGGAGGGATTTAGATGATGTGTAGAGGTGGTGCTCAGGGACATGGTATAATGCTGGACTTGGCATTGCTAGGCTAATGGTTGGAATCTATGATTTTAAAGGTCTTTTCCAGCCTAAATAATTCTGTTGGGTTTGGAGGACACTGTGGGGATAGAGAGCAAAGACCTAGGTCTGGGAGGCTCACCAGGGCATGCCATGGGTGGGAAAAGTGCAATATCCACATCCATCGCTGTGTTCCAACCCCAGCTTGGCCTGCAGGATTGGGTCTAAATGCAGAAATGTCAGCCTTGGCAGAGGAGGACATGCTGTGAGGAGCAGGGAACGTCTGATGCTTCTCCCCAACTCTGTTGGTACCCCGCAAGAAGACTGGCTGCGTTTTGGTTGACAGCTGCGTGCCAGGGCATGTCCCCGGCCCGGCACCAGACATCAGCGGGTTTTCTGGTGGGGCTCCTAGCATCCAAACTCAGTTTGCAATCCACGGCGAAGACCTCATTTCCAAGGAGACTGGGATATCACAGCAGCATTAAGCATTTTTTTTGCAATTCTTCACTTTTATCAGGGTCAGTGGGGGGGTGTTTGGAGACGAGGACAGATGTGTTGGTGGGGCACGTGGCGAGGGGCTCTGCTGAGCCAGGAGGATCTGTCGTAGGACCCGATGGACACAAACACTTGATGCTTGACACTTGTACGCTGCTCTGTAACCAAGGGAATTGTCTGTGTAAATATAGAAATGATTAATGTACGTGTCTCGTGCCCATGGATGTTGTCAGTGTACAGTGTGTGTAGCTGCCCGGTGGAAGAACTGATGCTGCACCTGAATCATGTATCTTACTTTAATCAATAAACATGATCTATTTTTTATGTGAAAAGGCTCAGGGGATTTCTCTTCCACCAAGGCAGGTGTAAAACTACCTGGCAGGGCCAGGGCCACGCATGAAGCACGTCTGAGGGTCTCCGCCGTGGACTCTGCTGTGCTGGGATGGATGGGGCAGTCGTGCAGCATTAATGCCAGTTGATGTGCTACAGCTTTTGGGACTCATCTCTTTTGTTTGTTTGTTTCTCTTCTCTTTTTTTTCCTCCTTTTTGCAAATATGACCCAAGTACAAGGGCTTGGGGAGGAGGGGCCATTTATGGGGGAGCAGGAGACCTGGAGCCCAATGGGCAGCTGGGAGCAGACCCTGTGCTTTTCCCACCTCTGCAGCAGCTTAAAGAGTTGCTCTTCTGCTGAGGGTGTTTCAGCTTTGCTGCTCTGACAACGGTGATTTTTCTTCTGAATGCAAAGCAAGCAGGTCGTGGGCAGAACCTTTATAAGCTCTCTGGGCTTGGCTCTTCTCTCTGCTCCACCAAATCCATGCCTTGGCTTCTTGGCTGTGTCCTGAGATCCAACAGCTTGGTTTATGCCAAAACCGGGGCTGGAGCTTTAAGAAGAGCCCAGCATGTGCCGATGGCAGCAGCACAGTAGTTGCTGAGCTGCTGCTGATCCACCTGAGAGAGAGATCAAAGGAGCAAAAGGCAGCCCATGCTCGGAGTTGGCGGGGCGCTAAGCCAGCATGGCTGCAACTTATCCTCAGGCTGCTGAATAATTCATGCGACTGCGGTGAGTTATTAGAGGGGCTGTGTGGGAAATTGGTGCTAAAAAAAGTTAATCTTTTGAAGATGTGGCAGAAAAGTCTCCTTAAAGCCTGCAGACTGATGGGGAATGTGGTTCTGGAGGGGAATCTGAGGCCACCTGAAGCCCAGGATGCATGGAGCGGCTGCACACTGGCAGCTCCTGGTGCTCGGGGTGTTTCTGACAGTGGAGAGTCACCAAAGCCAGATCCACATCCATCTTTCTTCCAAAGGTTGAATGCTGCAGGGCTGCACCCCTTCCAGGAAATGGATTTGCTGGGCTGCACCTTCCCAGGTGTCACTTCACTAAGCATCATCCCCCTTGCCGTTGCCCTTCCCTGTGCTGTGGCTTCCAGCCAAGGTGACCCTCTGGAGTTAAAACTCCAAAAATTTAAAGGAAAATGTCATCACTGTTATTTGTGCAGCTTCGGGATGCTGGGAAGAGTGATTTGGGTTTTCCTTGTGGGGAAAAGCAGTGCATGTGGCTGGGAAGCTGGGGCACTGTTGGAGCAAGAGTGGGAGGGCAGCAGGGTGACAGCCTGGCCACCCCTGCTGAAAGTACCAGAGAGCTAAGGCACGAACTGGAGCTGATGAGCAGAAAACAGGGGCAGGGCAGGTGAACCCCATCTTTTACTTTAGCGGTAAGAAAAATACTGCTCCCCCAGCAAGCCCAGGGATGGCAACCTACTCTTCACAACATCCTGTCAGCATGTAGGGATTGCTGTGGGGACCTGTCTGCATTTAGAGTTTTATTAAATATAGCCACAGGGAACTGCAAAGCTCGCAGGTCCATCTCATCAGAGGAATGCTGAACTGGGGGCCTGCACAAGTGCAGCCAGGTGCTCCCTCCCCTAGCTTTAAATTGAGATTAACCACAGCTGTGGTGGGATAACAAGGTTGTGCCGGGTCATTCTTGTCCTGCAGCTGGCAGGTCAGGCAGGAGGTTATTGTGCTCTTCCCTTCTTTGTGTGGTGACTCTCTACTCCTCAAGGCAGCAGGTAGGACGTTGTAGTATCCTGGGGGTGTTTTGTGGAGCTTGGGACATGGAGCTGGCGGTAGGATTTGCAGCCTGAGGTTCTGGCGTGTGGTTGTAGTGGTGGGTTTCCTTTCTCCTGCTGCTTCTGCCCAGGGGCAGTCCCGATCCCAGCAGAGTCGTCACTGTTTTGTGTCTGTAAAGTTCTCTAGGGTAATTGAGGCTGGCAGGAACTTCGGGAGATCTCTCTTCCAACTTTCTCCTGCCTGAAGCAACTCTTGGAATTACAAGAAAAGCCTCGGCTTGGGGCTGGCCCTGAGGGATCTCCTTTGGAGATCTGGGTTGCAGAGCTGGGGGCTGCTGCAGCAGCAACCTGTGGCTGGGGTCCTGCCTTTCCTCTGAGCTGGCTGATCTCTGGGCT